TTTGCTAAGAGTGGTAAGTTTTGCTTGTTTTTTTTGTTTGTGGGAGGATTTATCCCATTTTATCTTGAACCATCTAGGAGGGAGGGAAACACCTTAGTTGTGTTCTGCACCAACCTTATTTGTTTGTCCTAGAGCAAATACCACTAAGGCCTTGTATTACTTCCTGAGCTCCCTGCTCGCCCACCTACACTGAATTTTTTGACCAGCCTTAAGGTTTCTATTCCACTTCCTCTCTCTCAAATCTTACTTTCAGTCTGGAGTGTGTCAGCAGTCCCTTTTAGTACCTGTGCTACAGTGGTGAGTGCAGCGACTGAAATAACAATCAGTGGCTCTTTGGTTTCACAGTTACAGAAAAGGCTTTTTGAGCAACTCTTCACCAGCTCCTTCCTTTGCAAATCCTCGTTCAGCTGACTGTCCCATTTCCCCTCTTTCGTTTGGATAGAGAAGCAGAAATAGGAGTTGTGAGCAAGCCTGATGCTTGTACCACTGCTTTGAAGGTCTGGTAATTCCTGTGAGGGGCAGAGTAGGGCCAGGAAGGGAGAATAAAACACAGAGGAAGACACAGTGCGTGCATTGCTGGTGATTGTTCATTAGGTTCCTGGTCTGTAGCAGTCGTTTTTGCCTTGCTTCACTTACTTTCCATGCCAAAGAGATCTCCCTTTGTCTTTTTGCCTCACTCAGAAGCTAGGGATAAAAATCCGGTGGGGTTTCCTTTGTTATTCTGTCACAGAAAACTAATAATTGTCTCTTGGGAACAAAAGGTCACTCTATGTCCTTACACCACGGTTCTTTTAGAGTGGCTGGTCGCGACAGGCCTATTGTCTCTTCTTTCTTGTGCTCTGCTTTGGTTGCTGGTGAGTAATCTGCACAAGAGACAGAGCTGTGCTTGCCAGGGCTGGGTGAGCCTGGCTGGGGGCCTTTGCCAGCTCTGAGCTCAGACAGTAATCCTGACAGCTTCACAGTCAGTGCCCTGGGGTCTGTGCCAGCCTGTCCCAATTTCTCTGTACCAGAGGCCCCCACAAATATGGGAGGGAGTGCTGTAAGTGGCACTCTCTGCTCTCCCCAGTGCCTTCTTGGTGCTTTTAAGAATCAATCATTGACAGCTTTGGGTGCTCTTTGTAAAATGCTATCTGGTTTTTAGTTTGTTTTTCTGTAGAAGACTCAGGAATCTGTGAATTTTTTTTCTGCCTTTCTACCTAACTATGAGTTTTATGGGCCCACTTAAAGGCTTTTCATAGTATTTCGTTGCTCATCACTCACAGCTGTGCTACCTTTTTTATGTCACTGCTTATTTTGCTTCCTCATGATCCTCCTTAGCCAGGTGACATGCTGAGGCTTGGGCAGCACATGTGGAGTTTCTCTGGCTCCATGAGCAGGCGTGGCAGTGGATCTGCAGCCTGGCTGGCTGTGATCCTGCAGTCCAGCTCTTTACAAGCACACAAATCACTACTATATAGTATATACTATGTACTTCAGTCGAGACGCACGCTTTCGTACACAAAAGTATACAAGCAGGAGTTTCAGGAGAGGACCCATCAAATAGAAGACCTTGCATGTGAAGAAAGAAGGTGGCTTTCTTGAGGCTTGGCCCTTCACACTGCCACTTCTAGTTGGCTACCTTGGATAGGGAGAAAGGAATGCATTGGTTATGATTTCTGTTCCTGCTGCATTTCAGCCTGGAGCCCTCCCACTGAAGTGAGATTGCTCATTTAGGAGTACAGTTGCTATATATCTCTTCTTCATGTAGTGGAAAGGTCTCTCCAGAGAGCGATTTGGATTGTAGGCAGGTTGAACCATTCTTTGGGTTTTTCAGAGAAAGCATGCCAAAGCTTGGCGCTTCACTCAAACACTTGAAGCTGGATGGAAGAAATCTGGTCCCTGTAGATTTTTAGGAGACACCAGGCAGCCCTGACTCTGGCTTGGAGCCAGAGTAAGAGTTAATTTTGCGCAGAGATTACCCAGGTCCAGGGCATGTGTCTACTACAGGCTTTAAAGTGATCCCACGTTTCTGACTTGTTCAGCAGCCTCTTGGGAAGCCAGTAAGGCATGTCCCCGCAGCTCCATGCCGGACCTGGCCTACTCCTCCCAGAGCAGACCTATGTAAGAAAGCCCTGCAATTCCTGATGAAGAGCAAGGAGAGCAGCCCTGTGGTTTGTGTGCATTCAGAGTGAAAGCTGCTGCTCCCCTATTTCAACATGATACTTGGAAGCAGCCCTGGGGGAATGATGAGACTGAGATAAGGGTAATGATGCCGTGGATCGGCAGAGACAGGTTGGATTTGTGGGTGGCAGATGCACTAACCTCTCTTATGAGGTTTTACAAGGGTCTTGTCACTCAAATTTTTTTAAGGTCTGCTGGATACATGTTTGTTTCTGTCCACCTTTAGCCAGCACAACGAGCGAGCTGTGGTGGTGCAGCTCAGCTCTACCTGAATGCTTCTGACATGACAACACAGGGAAAATAAATAAAAGAAACTTTCCAGTTAATTGGTTGTTTT